ATCCACATAATTTCTCGAATTTACACAGTTCATATTCTCTTCTCCTCCTTCCATAACTGATTCATTAACAGTTACTGCTCCCCTTCCTTTGCTCTAATCTCTCAGATACTCCAGATGATTTAAATCACCATTTATTTCCCCCCCACTGAAACTCTCCTACTACCCCCTTCAGCTTTGTTTTCGCTAGAGCCAGGACATCCAACTTCTTTCATTCAAACATCAGGCAATCATCTGTTTCTTGTCATACCGCACATCATCCACGCACATTAAACAACCCAGTTTTATAAAGTTTTTTTCTTCTCTTTTTTATGTAAATGTATACACAGGAGAAGGGGTTACTAGCCCATTGCTCCTGGCATTTTAGTCGCCTCATACGACACGCAATGGCTTACGGAGGAAAGATTCTTTCCCACTATTTCCAGCCCATGGACATTAGAAGAAATAAAAAAGAACAAGAGATTAATTTAGAATAAGGAGAAAAACCTAGATGTATGTATATATATATATGCATGGCGTGTCTGTGAAGTGTGACCAAAGTGCAAGTTGGAGTAAAGCAAGATATCCCTGATATCTCGCGTGTTTTATATGAAACAGAAAAAGAAAACCAGCAATCCTACCATCATTGCAAAACAGTTACAGGTTTTTGGTTTTTTTTATTTTTTATCACAACAGTCATCTGGCAGGGACGGTGTACTCCCTGGGTGAGTTGCTCTATACCAACCTATATATATATATTATATAATATATATAATATATATATAATATATAGATATATATATATATATATATATATATTTATTAAATATATTATATAAATAATAATATAAAGTATATATATATAATAATACATATATATATATAATATATAATATATATAATATATATATATATATATATATATATAATATATATATATATATGAAACATATAAAAATTATATATATATATAGTATATATATATATATAATATAAATAAATTTTATATATAAATATATATATATATAATATATATATATAATATATATAATATATATATTTAATTTAATATATATATATATATAATATATATATATAATATGATGAACATTTCAAAATGGTATAAAATACGACAGGTTGTTAGGTTAACACATATATGCAACAGATTAGGTATCTTTATTTCGAAACGTTTCGCCTACACAGTAGGCATTCTTCAGGTCCTAGTACAGAAAAGTTTGATAGAAGCAGAAGATACTGAAGACGATGTAATCATTCCAATCACCCTTGAAGTTTTGTGAGGTTGGTCATCCCCTTAGTCGGAGAAGAGTATTGTTTCCATAGATCTGAAAACAATATGGTAGTTTGAAGTTACAGGATGAGCCTATATACCGCCAGGTTTAGTATGCCCATATAACGCTCTACTATATACCTCTACTAGTGGCCTACATCTCACCCCTGGCGGTATATAGGCCCATACTGTCACTTCAGCACTCCATACTTGTTTCATATACTATGGGGAACAATACTCTTCTCCAACTGAGGGACTGACACCACTCAAAACTCAAGGTGATGGACAGATTACATAGTCTTCAAGTATCTTCTTGCTTTTATCAACTTTTTCTGTACTCGACAATAGAAGCCTACTGTGTAGGCGAAACGTTTCGAAATAAAGATACCTAACTGGTATGCATATATATATATATAGAAAAATATATATATGATATATAAATATATATATAAAATAGTAATAATATAAAATACCTGGAGTATACCTGGAGAGAGTTCCGGGGGTCAACGCCCCACAGCGGCCCGTTCTGTGACCAGGCCTCGCTGAGTCACAGACCAGTAGAGTTCAAGTGGAAGAGGCGGGGCAGGAGCTGTAATCGACCCCTCCAACCACAATTTAGGTGAGCACACCCCATATTGTGAGATGCAGCACACAGTTTGGAACCTAAACCTAGCCAAAGCAAGTAAGGAAACTAGAGAAAGTGACAAAGGTTTGAGCAACAAGAACTAGACGCGGGAACTAAGGGGTATGTTCCTATAGGAGAGGCTAAAGAAAATCGACCTGACGACACTGGAAGACAGGATAGATAGGGGAGATTAGATAACGACTATAAAATACCTTGAAGAGGAATCGGCAAGGTGGACGACAGACAGGATGTCACAGAGATGGGAACACAGGCAACAAGGGGTCACAGTTGGGAAAAGTCGCTGAAGACACAGATGATATCACGGATGTTAGGAAGTATTTCATCAGTAGAGTTGTCAGGAAGTGGAATAAATCCCTGGGAAGATGATGTAGTGGTAGGCGGATCCATACATAGCTTTAAGAAGAAGTATGATAAATCATGGAGAGGAAGTGACTAGAAGCGACCAGTGAATACGGGGCCAGGAGCTTGTGACACGAACCCTGCAAACCCCACAACAGGTGAGCAGGTGAGTACACACAAACGCGCATGTAGCGGCTGTGTCCTTTTTTGGAGATTTGGAAATGGCCCACCCTATTACGAAAAACGTGTAGGAGATGAAGACGACGCAACACTCCACACACCTGACACCAAGTTTATAAGCCTAAGTCTTCATGCCCCTGTGCCCTTCTCTCTTTCACGATCTCGGAGCTCTTAGCCCAACTCCAAGGCTGAGACAGACTGATTTTCCTAATCTTTTGTATATACATCATACTTCCTGTCGTCCAATTATGCTCCTTGTAAAAAATTTGTATTGATAATGTACTGGATAGCGAAACGTTTTACAATAAAGATATCCAAAGATTTTTCAAGGCTTTTGGGTGTACTGATACCGGCATGTGCTTGGAAAAGATATGGTGTATTACCTCCCAGCTTTGATCCACTGTATCATGGGAGGTGATCAATGAGATTTCAGGCATTTTCGACGATCAAAAGGTCAAGCTCAGTAACGAATCATGCTTCTTTCCAACCCCTAAAAAAATTCTTTATCAAATGTTCCATGATGTTTTCTGTGGAAGGACACACGCGTTTAAGTCGTTCCTGTTGCAGGGGTATTGAAGTTCAATCAGACTGTTAAGTTCTGCCTGTCTCCCCTACATATTTTGAAGTGTCCACAAAGGATGGTACAGATGCCTGTCATGAAATCAGCACCAACTATATGATCCTTTTCACCAAAAACCCTCAAAGAGGAGCCCTATGACGACGTTTCGGTCTGTCATGGACCATGGTCAATCACAGCTGTAGTCCAAGACAGCCAAACATTATAAGGTTCCTTTCCTAACTTCGTTTTTTTTTTTTTCAAGAAATATGTAGGGAAGACTGGGAGAAGTCTGCTTATCCGCGTGAGTGAACATAAAACGTCTAAGCTTGTGTTCTCCACAGACACTCAAGAAGCATCTGATGACTTGGGAAGCGGCACATCTCATTTCTGAACCTGACTTTACTGTAGACGGCGAAAATGCCTGGAAACCACACCGATGGGTGTCACCAACACCCGCATCAAAAAACTGGAAGCTACATATCGAAAAAGCTGGCATATCTGATACTCCACAAGGTTACGCCTCGCCCACCTCACACGTTATTAATCAGGTGACCTCATGAGCTACTCGACGCCTTCTCAAACCTCACTCTTACTTTGCACTTTCATCAGGTCAAAATATAAAATAAAAATAAAGCTTGCAGCCCCCAATCATGGATCACTATCTCCATAAATATAAAATGTATTACATAACAAGTTCAACCCTTAATTATTAATCAAACATTTTCACGTTACCTTGATTACCTGAGGACAATGATTTTACAAGTACATGATAATTACAGGCAGAGGAGTGATAAATCATGAAGATTTAACCTAGGATATACCAGTCACAAATAACCAGCATTTAAAACAGTTAACTTATGACGGCGTTTCTGTCCGTCCTGGGCCATTGTCAAATCAGCTGTGGTTTAATAAAGATCCAGGACGGACCGAAACGTCACCATAAGTCTCCTACTAGATGCAGGTTGTGATGTTTTTCCAGTGATAGTATTGTGCCTTTATTCTTTAGGATATACCAACAAAACTAAACACTAAGATTTATTTCAACGGCAGTTTATACGAATACAGCAGTTTTATTATGTCAAGAGTATCATTCCAGGTTATATAAAATAACGACATGTGCAGGCAGTATCAACAATGTTCGAGTTTGTGGTGCCATTTTGTAGCTGTGGTGTCTCAGGACAGCTAAAGCAGGGACGGAGAATCATCTGCCCTTCTCTTCTAAAATTACCCTCTCATGTCTTAATAAACATATACTTTGCTCTTCATCTAGAGCCCGTAAAACTAGTATTAATTAGCTATGAAGTTATTCATGTCAGCTAGCAAGACCTTCTTACACCTGCTGACCATATTCATCAAAGTACATAGGTACAATATAGAGCAGTAAATAGGTACTTAGCATTAAACAGGTACCCAGCTGACAGGGAGTTGTATCGCATCCTAAAAGGGAACCATGATGGACATAAGCCACATTGCTTGATTTTACCGGTTTATTCTAAGTTAAATATCTTTTATTTTTGCTATGGCTGGGGCACCTAACTAGTGGTTTCCTTGGCATTTAAAACTAATGTTGGGTCAAACACTCTACATCACCACACCACCCAAACTCTCCCCACTTAGGTATCACAACTGAAAAAATACTTTTACCTAGAATACCTAAAGGCTTTGGAAAATACTGTTTTGAATTCCTATAATGTTTGCAATAAGCACATAATTATAACAAGCAGTGAAGATAAATTACTCTTAACCTAACTCAAAAATACTACGATTTTTCCATTGTGGTAAAAATATTTTTTGGGGCAAGAATGGCTGTCTCCTTTAACCGTCAACAGTGTTATGACCAGAGACTGTTGTTAAGGGATGGTGGTTTCTGACGGTGAAAGGGCAGGAGGTGCCATAGTGCCAGCAGGAGGTGCCATTAACTTCAATGTTTGAACGTGTGAAAACACTGCCCCGCCTGAATCTTACAAACCAATAACATTACTCTATCATACACACTAGAGCCTTCACCTTACCTTTCTGACGCCATGATGAAGCATACACTGATCAGGAGAACGATTACAACGAGTTATTATCCCTAGTAACTTAATACAAACCACAATAGTTCAATATATTAAGAGCCAGACATGTTAACATGCTCACACACCGCCATAACATTGTGTACTGAGGGTTCCAGTAATATTCCCTCACATCCAACAACACTCCGCGTTCGGGCACTCTAAACCTTCTATTATTTTTCTTCTGTCTTTAAATTATATTAGTACATGATATTTTTAACGAGATAAGTTTATTATAATCCATATCGTTCATAACAAGACTTTGTAAAATGCGTGTTTACTTACTAATGGCAAATATGCAACAGTGCTGTTAGGGGAGATGGAGTATATTATTATTATTATTATTATTATTATTATTATTATTATTATTATTATTATTATTATTATTATTGGGAAGTTTTAGATCCACAAAGGTCGTACACCACCTGAGGAATGGGAGGTAATTACATGTTATCCAAGGATCAAGAGCTCTTCACCAGGATCAAGGACCTGCACCCATCATGGAGTAAGGAATCAACAAACATGTAACTGATTTTGACACATACTTAACAATAAACTTATTCATGTTCAGTTTACAGATGTTTATATAGACAGTTCTTTTCAGTCTGTACAACGGTTGCATTAACCACATGTTTATTACAGGCATGAGGAGGTGATAAATTATGAAGACTTATCCTTGCATCCCCTTCATTAAGACAAGTTGTACTGTAGGAAGAGTTATTTCTTGACAAAACCTTTATTTTCACTCCTATTTAGGTACCTGAAAACTGTTATGTTCATTATATATTATTACACATATTAAAAATGTTAAAGCTTTTAATTTAACACGACAAGGTTCTGAGAGCAGGGATAGAGTAGACCTAGTAGCGTTCAGCGAAGAAACGGGACCAGGAGCTGCGAAATATACCTGCGACTACATACAGGTGAATACAAATAACTGAGTACACACACACATTAGGGAACGGGTGGGGGTTTGAACCTATGGCAGAGGAGTCCAAAAACACACAAATCACTCCCTACGAAAGCAAAAGACTTGGCAGGCAATGTAACATATTCCCAATGAAAAGTAAGGGCGTCACTGGTACACTAAGAGAAAACGCAGTGTCTGGGGCCCAAGACTGTTCAACAACCTCTCACCAGCCATAAGGGGCATTACCAGTAGACCCTGGTTGTCTTCAAGAGGGAGCTGGACAGATACCTCATGTCGGTGCCGGATCAGCCGGGCTGTGGTTCGCACGCTGGACTGCGTGCGGCCAGCAGCAACAGCCTCGTTGATCAGGCCCTTATCCACCGAAAGGCCTGGTCGTGGACCGGGTCGCGGGGGCGTTGATCCTCGGAGTGCCCTCCAGGTAGACTCCAGGTAGGCCAGTGACTGTGAGGACGTTCCGTTATTTGCAATCGTATTACGATTTTGCGAGTTATGCATATACATACAACCTGGTGATTGGAAAGAATTATTAGGGATGATGAGATAACGTACAAAATACTGAGAAGAGCTGAAAGGGTAGACAGGAAAAGATTATTAGAAAGAAGGGAAACGGGTACACAAGGGCGCAGCTAGAAGTTGGAAACACAAATGAGCCACAGGAAGGTTAGGACGTATTTCTTTAACCTTAGAGTGGTGAAGCGAAACATAAACAGTGGAGTGGAAGAGGCAGGATCCATACATAGCGATAAGAAGAGGTTCGATAAGGCTCTCGAATTCAGGAATGTGGGGCCAGCAAAAAGGCGGGGTCAAGAGCTGAGATTCGACCCCTGAAACCACATATAGGTGGTTACATAATGGTTTATACCGCACACCACACACAACAACACCAACACACACACACACACACACACACACACACACACACACACACACACACACACAGGAGCACCTGGAAAGAAACAAGTGTATAATTGACAACCAGCATGGTTTCAGGGAGGGAAAATCCTGTGTCACAAACCTATTAGAGTTTTATGACAAGGTGACAGAAGTAAGACAAGAGAGAGAGGGGTGGATCGACTGCATTTTTTTGGACTGCAAGAAGGCCTTCGACACAGTTCCTCACAAGAGGTTACTGCAAAAGCTAGAGGATTAGGCACACATAACAGGAAAGGCACTGCAATGGATAAGAGAATACCTTACAGGGAGGCAACAACGAGTCATGGTACGTGATGAGGTGTCAAAGTGGGCGCCTGTGACAAGCGGGGTTCCACAGGGGTCAGTCCTAGGACCTGTGCTGTTCTTGGTATATGTGAATGACATAACGGAAGGGATAGACTCAGAAGTGTCCTTGTTTGCGGACGATGTAAAGTTAATGAGAAGAATCAAATCGGATGAGGATCAGGCAGGACTACAAAGAGACCTGGACAGGCTACAACCCTGGTCCAGCAACTGGCTCCTTGAGTTTAACCCCTCCAAATGCAAAGTCATGAAGATTGGGGAAGGGCAAAGAAGACCGCAGACACAATATAGTTTAGATGGCCAAAGTCTGCAAACCTCACTCAAGGAAAAAGATCTGGGAGTGAGTATAACACCGAGCATATCTCCTGAGGCGCACATCAATCAGATAACTGCTGCAGCATACGGGCGCCTGGCAAACCTACGGATAGCGTTCCGATACCTCAGTAAGGAGTCGTTCAAGACTCTGTATACCATTTACGTCAGGCCCATACTGGAGTATGCAGCACCAGTTTGGAATCCACACCTAGTCAAGCACGTCAAGAAATTAGAGAAAGTGCAAAGGTTTGCAACAAGACTAGTCCCAGAACTACGGGGATTGTCCTACGAAGAAAGGTTGAGGGAAATCGGCCTGATGACACTGGAGGCCAGGAGGGTCAGGGGAGACATGATAACGACATATAAAATACTGCGCAGAATAGACGAGGTGGACAAAGACGGAATGTTCCAGAGATGGGACACAGACACAAGAGGTCACAATTGGAAGTTGAAGACTCGGATGAATCAAAGGGATGTTAGGAAGTATTTCTTCAGTCATAGAGTAGTCAAGCCGTGGAATAGCCTAGAAAGTGAAGTAGTGGAGGTGGGAACCATACATAGTTTTAAGGGGAGGTATGATAAAGCTCATGGAGCAGGGAAAGAGAGGACCTAGTAGCAATCAGTGAAGAGGCGGGGCCAGGAGCTATGAATCGACCCCTGCAACCACAAATAGGTGAGTACAAATAGGTGAGTACACACACACACACACACACACACACACACACACTCGTGGAGGAGTCACGCGGTTTGAGCTCGTGTGTTTTGGTGGTAATTTCTGACTGTGCCATAAGGAATAGAGTGTGGGATATAGGCGTGTGCACGCATGAGAGTGCATATAATCACTTAAGACCCGAAAAAAGGAAATATAAGTGATCACAGAAAAGAAAACAAAGGAAATAGTTGCTGAGTGTTTAGTGGAGGCCGTTGGAAGCGGTGAACGGTGTGTCAGGCCTAAATTAGTGTTGCCATAATACGCAGTTGGCTATATTGAGAATATGTGCGACCACAGACAGGGAGATAAGAGATATGTATATAGATGTGTCATGTAAATACAGTGAGTGACCTGTGATAAAAAAATTAGAAGAGCTAGAGAATATAGTGCATCAGGAAGTTATTAGTGGAAAAATTACCGAGAAGCCATCAAACATCTTCAACGTCTGGACAAGGACAGACCAGCAACGTTACTCCACTGCCAGCCGCTAAAGTTACATATTCACCTAGTTTGAGTTGCATGGGGGTTCGATAGATACCTGGTCTCTAGCTGGAATGGGGGTCACTTCCTCGAGATTTAATGAGAATTTAGCAGGTAGCGGCATAGATAGCGAAGCCATAGTGTATATATTTTGAACGTAATTTTAAACGCTAAGACTCAGTGGAACAAGAGATCGGGTAACATATTTTCAATACATATGTAGTACTACGTGGGAAATAAGGGACTGTTTACATAAACTCTCATATGCAACGCATCATTGGTGAGTACAGTACTGTTGTTAGGCACTTGAATAGCTGTAGCACACACACTACACACTCACACACACACCACCACACACACACACACACATACCACACACACACACACACACATATGCACACACAACACACACACACACACAACACCACACACACACACACACACACACATGACAACACACTCACACACACCACACAAACACACACATAACCCCACACACACACACACATACAGACACCACACACACACATTCAGACACACAACACAATTATATAGGACCTCACCACACACACCACTTATACAGGATTTACACCTTCCTGGAAGTGACACCTATAACTCCTTTCTTTCCCACCATCTCTCTCCCTCTCTTCCTCTCTTTTCCTATCTTCTGCCGCATTTCTCTCTCTCTCTCTCTCTTCTCTCTCTTCTCTCTCTTCTCTTCTTTCTCTCTCTCTCTCTCGCTCTTTCTCTCTCCCCCCTTCTCTCATCTCTTTCATCCTCTCTCTCATCCTCTCTCTATCTCTCTCCTTCTTTTCACTCTAGCTCTCTCTCTTCTCTCTTCTCTCCCTCTCCTCTCTCTCTTCCTCTCTTCCTCTCTTACTCTCTCTCTTCCTCTTCTCATCTCTCTATCCCTTGGTCACTCCCCTGTCTCTTACCTTTTTCCCTCTCTCACTTTCTCCCCTTTTTCCTCTCTTTTCCCTCCTTTAGGTCCCTTCTCTCTTCCCTACTCTCTCACTCTCTCCCCCTTTTTCTTGTTCTCTTTCTCTCTTCTTTTCTGTGTGTAAAAAAAAAAATCAAAAAAAAAATTGGTTTGGGACCTCGCTGGAATCAGGGTCGATGACAATGGTACTGGTAGGGAGGAATGGATAGAGGAAGTTGGGATAAGGATGAGCAAGAATTGGGAGAGACAATATAGGAGAGCTTTTGTTGAAAAAATGCGAGAAAGAGCCTCTCTGTGAAATGGGAAAAAGAGGTTGGAGAAGGAGGCAGAAGAAAAATGGGAGACAAGTCGAAAATGCAGTTGCCAGGGTTAAAGGTCTAGAATTTGAGAGGTAAAACAGGCTAAAGCAAGTCTAGTGGTAGTGACAGAGAAGACAACACCATACGATGATGAGATGGCTAAATACAGGAAGGAAGGGA